AATCACTCACTTTTATACCACAAAATCGGACATTTATTATTAACAACACATTTTCTACGAAAAGATAAAAATGGCTATCAGATACTTAAAATAAAATCATCAACTTTATACAAAAATTGGATTTGTTAATTTTGTCAACTTTATACCATAAATTAATTAAGTAATTTCTAAAAGTAATTTCTACATTTTGTCCAAAATATTTTTAGCGGCACATAAATGTTATTTATATTTTTGTATTTGGTTATCTTGTCTACGAAGAAAAAGATATCTTGCAACTCTACTATGCCAACAAACAGATGTATGAAAAATAACATAAGTATCATTTTATTATGTTTTACTCAATACAGGAAATATAATATAGGTATAAAGATTAACGATTAATTCTCTATAATTGATCAATCAAGTCTATATATTTAACCTAAGGATTTCGAAAGTTTCTATAATACCCCCATATTTGTTTCCATAAAATTAAATCATCCTAAATTTAAATTCAACTAATAATGGTAATAACAGTAAATATTTAACTAAAAAGATTATGTACATTAATTACATTAATTTTTATTAATTTACCTTTTTAGACAATAATTAATGAAATTGGCGGGAAAATGTTTCTAAAATGAATTATGTTAATCCTTATTATATATTAATAAATTTTGAACTATTTCCGTTTACATATACTAGTATTGTTCCCGTGCAAATGCACGGGTATTACAAATACAAATAATAATTAAAATAAATTATGAATTGTACAACTATTAATATACATTTAAAAAAATTAGGTACAATATTTTCCTTTCCCTATTGCCTTGTAAATTTTAAATTAATATTTTCAACTCATTCTCTTTTAGCTTGGGAAATAACATAGAGTTAAATATATATATTTAATGCAACAATTTTTATTTCTAAAGCTTAAAATGTCTAAAGTTGTATGTTTCTGAAACTCAAATATCGAAAGTTTTTATTATAGATCTTCCTTTGCATGAAAAAAATCATAATAGTGTTGGCATTTTGAGTAAAAGTGCTGACTTTTTTTTTTTCATTTCAAAGTATTATTGTTCTATCTAATTATATACTCATTGTCAAAGTATTATTGTTCTAGCTAAATATAAGTAATGAACACTGTAATGGTTATATATACTCCTTTCCTATTTTGTGATTTGATGATGCACTTTCATTGTAATGGTTATATATATTCCTTTTCTATATTTTTTTTGTTTGATGATTTCATTGTATTGATACATTAACCGTTATTTTATAAATTAATGGCATTCTTGTCATAGTTTTTTTTTTTATTTTTTTTTCACATTCAATTAACAATTAATGCTTTAATTTTATGGTACTTTTACTCGATTTGATCACAAATGATGTTGAAGCTAAATTAAATGAAATATGATAATTAGAGAGATATAATCCATTCGGTATGAACATACGAGTGAGTAATCTGCAGGTAATCCAACTAATGCTAGTAACTGTGAGTACTGAAGAATAAACGCAAATGCAGAAAATAATCATAAAAAGGATTTTAAATGCCAAAGATAAAAATAAAAGTACACATCCATCTTGTTTTCTCTACAACTTACAAATATAATTTATCAAAAGAAAAAGTACTTTTAATATAACAACATAACATTCTAATTTAAATTTCTTTATTGAAACTCTAAACATAAAACTTCTTAATACAGTATGAAGATTACGACAATGCTTCTCCGAAGAACAAAAATAAAAGATACAATAAATAAACAAAGTTCGTTATACAGAAATTAAGACGACTCACTAAACGGCCACATGGCTGATCCAATCTTACCCGACAACCATGTTGGTGATTATAATCTTATAGAAAATGAACTCAAAGTCTACCAAATGAAATTGTATTTATTAAATGAAGGCAAAATTGTTTTTATTATCATATTATAAAGGAAAAAGGAGAGATAGAGCATGCAGTATATTAAGACTTTGTGACTCCTCCGTATATTGAATCTCCCATAGACAAAAAAATTTAGCAGAAAAAAACAAAAAGTTGTACCTGGTGAGATAAACCATATATCTTCATATCTCCTATGCTGCTTAATCCATGTTTTAAGATAATATCATAATAATAAAACTTTATTTATGTTAATTCAAGAATATGAAAAGGGTGATTAATTAACTGCTTAAAGAAGTGTAACTTGAAGTAGATAAGTATATGCTAGTGGGTTTAGTTACAGAAGGTGAGTTAAATTATCGCACTTTGGTAGTTATTGTTAATATGTTAGTGGAATCTTTTCCACAGATTATTATTTTTTTTTTTTCAAAAATAGGTGTTTAGCAGTTATTACATATTATCGGTATGTGGTTTGCCTGTCAAAAAAATGAAATATGTATTAAGTCATTTGTGTGTGTGTGTGTGTGTTTGTGGGCAATGTATATTTTATTGTGATTACTTGTTAATATTTTTCAGTGGCCGAAAGACAAACAAAAAAATATGGCCGAAAAGATACGGATAAATTGATTTATTGATTTATGTGTTAAAAAAAATGAGTTTTAGAGATGCTAAAAAGTGACAATTCATTGAGTGGAACCATTGTAAATAAAGCCAGACAAATTAGTTTCAAAATAGCATTAGAAATGAGCTTCAATAATAAAAAAAAAAATAAAAAACTGATGTTAAATTGATATAAAAAATAAACAAATATTAGTTGAGATAATAATAATAAGATAAATAGTAATACGTGTCAAAAATTGTGAGGTCTTTCCATAAATAGTAATAGTGTTGTAAGACCCACATACAACTTTCCAAAAATAGTAAATAAGTTGTCTAATTATATAGTAGATAGATAGATAATATTTAGTTACACCACTAGTCTTGTATTAATATATGAAATCAAAGAAAAAATTAAAGTTAGACTCAGAAACAATGAAGCTTGTCATATCAACTGAAGATCAAACATTTCTTGAACAGAGGTGATATAAAAACTCGAGCTCGACTTGATAATAATCACATTCTTGTTTATCTGAGTTAATAAATAAACAGACATATAGAGGAATGTTATAAAGGACTTGATTAAGCGGGAGTAGAATGTTAGAATCCAATATGTGCATAGAGAGACCAACTTTGCAGCTGATTTTTTGGCGGGGCTTGCTTCCTATTTCCTTTTGGGCTTGAGTAGGATTTTGTCTCCTCCACCGGGTCTCGGAGCTTGGCTCGATCATAATGTTCGAGGAGTATCTCATTCACGTCGAGTTCTAGTCTAGCGTGATTAGGCCTACGGCCTCCTTTTTTGTAAAAAAAAAAAAATAATAAAAATAAAAAAAAATAAACAGACATATATAACAAGAAAGACTCTTCACACCTCACAAATCACAAAAGCAAAAAGGAATTAATCATAAAGTCTTCTTCGCCTAACCGTAACTCGTAAGTCATCTCTACCATGGCATGCCCCACTCCACTCTAGGTAAATTCCATTTCGACTCTACCATTTTTTTTAGTTTATTATTGGATTAGATGATGCTTTGCAAGAAACTCATTTTATTGTTTGAAACAAAATTTAAGCCTTTAATATTATATATAAATGTGTCCAAGATTTGAGATCATGCAGTGGCGAAACCATGTACATCGTTGGAGAGGCGCGGGCCCCTCCAAAAAACAAAAAAATTTAAACTAGGGGTAGAGGATTTTGCTGAAACTGAAAGATTTTCACTTGAGCGCGCATGTTGGGCCCTCCCCGGTTTCATGCGGTACATACATGGCTGGAGGGGCGCCACCGGTTTTGTCATGAAAATTATTTTTAAAGGCAAATTGGGCCTTCCTCGAAACAGGATCCTGGTTTCGGGACAAGGATAACAACATCAGAATTTAATAATATTTTCATTTTTATTATATTTTGAGTTGGTTAATTAGCCGACTTGCGGTGTACCAACGGGACTAAAAAACCGAGTCGATCATTATCGAAAAATACTTTTATTAAAGTACGCGAAGCGGAGAGTGCGTTGGTGGCATCGATTTATGATTTTGAGGTCTCGACCATTTATTTTGGGTAGCCCGAAGTTGAGAGAAAAATGACAGAGGCGGTGATTTTATTGTCATTTTCATGTCTAGACTTCGGGTAACCGTCGACCCTCGTTAGGCTTGCTGAAAATTAGCGGGAGTGCTTTCTTGAAAGCACGAGAACAGTAGAAGACGTTCGTAAAATTTATTTCACGTTTCGAAGTTTCGAGCATTTATTTTGAGAAGCTCAAAGTCGAGTGCGCATAATAGAAGAATAAAAAGCCGTTTTGCGGGATTCCGTAAGGTTGCGTGTGACCTCGGTTTAACGAGAATCGAGTTGGAGCGTGTAGACAATTCAAGCAAAATTCTATACGGACAAATTTCGCATTTTTCGAAGTTTCGATCATTTATTATGGGGGTTTGAATTTCTGCGTTAAATAGTATCAAAAGGAGCAAATTTGTCGAGGACGAGTTTGATCGTTCGAGGCTTTGTTTTCTCAAATTTTTCAGCTTTTCGTCTATTCGAAAGGAGGTATAATTCTTGATTAACATTATAATTGAGTCCGAGATTTTTAATAGTATAAATTCGAGTATTTTTTGAATTAAAACAATTCAGTTTAAGTATACCAGTTTAATTCCGGACTTAGTTTGATTTTTAGAAAAATCTCTAGTGTATTCCTTTATATCCTGCGAAAATTTTTGAGAGCGTCCACAAAAGTCCTTTGAGCGCCCTTCCGATGCCGGAGTGGAGGTGGTGCACCGCGGGATGGCCGGATGACCGGCTGGTTTCGCCATTGAGATCATGTACATACGCTGGAAAAATGTATGGTGGTCTATTCCCATTAGAGTATGCTGTCAAAAGAAACAAGCAACTCAGTAAGCTTCACTTGTTAAGATTCGAGTTCAGTTTGACTCTTTTGAAAAACGAGTTGAACTCGTGCTTGCTCTTGTAGCTCGTTTTTTCTAATGAGTTATCGGACTCGGCTCGGCTCGATAAGACTCTTTAAGACTCGAAAAAGAATTTTTTTTATAATTTTTTATACTTTGGCTCGTTAAATTTCGAGATCGACTCGTCAAGGTTCAAACTCGACTCGTTAATATTGATAAACTAGCCGAGCTGGGCTCGACACATTAAGGGCTCAGGCTCGAACTCGAAAACCCTGAGCTCGAGCCCAGCTCAGCTCGTTTACAGTGCTATGTTCACACCACAACTTCATGTTTTTTATTGGTTCATTCCCAAATCAAATCACTAGACTAAGATTCACATTACAAGAAAATGATGAAATTCCAACGGAAAAAATACTCCAATGGATATTTCGATTCTATTATTTCCGTCGGAATTTTTCAATAGATTCCAAAAAAATTCCAACAGAAATATTTGAATTTAACGATTACAACGGTGGTGGAAATAAAAATTTCAGCGATAAAAAACCGTTGGAAAAATAGTCGTTGGAATCATCAAATTCCATCAAAATTTCAATGGAAAACTCATTTCTACGGAATATTTTCATTGAAATTTCTGTTGGAATGATTCCAACGAAAGTTATACCATTAGAATATCCATTAAAATTTTCATTGGAATATATTACCGTAGGATTTTCCGTTGAAATATAACAATTTTTTTGTAGTGTGAAAGTCAGAAGATGATGTTTAGGCATTGTTTGGGGCCCAATTCAAAATTACTTAGCCACCATTATTTGTAAGCAATATATCAAAGCAGCACCCATGAAGCTTCTCTCTACATAATAGGAAGCTCACACAAGAAAGAAAGTTGGCTAAGATAACTCCCCTCCACTTATCACTATCCATCCCCTCAAAATTTCTAACTTATAAATACAACAACACTTTCTTATCATCTATGCACACTTAATCATGGCTGAATATTATCAAAACTATGCAAAAGCACCACTTATGAATGCTCCGAATAACGAGTCCGCCTTCGACGTTTCTGATTTTTTTGAGTTCAACAACTGGGCCGAGCACGTTGATCCCACGTTTTCGTCCATGTCAGCAGCTGGCTGTGATGATATGAATCCTCATATTGATTCAACATATATGAACGAGGTGGTTGAGAACTCGAGTTGGATTGGTGACAATAACAATTTACATGAAGAGATCGCGATCAATAATAGTAAGTAAGACTAATGTTGTATTATATGTTTGAGTTTTTTATGTGTCTAAATGTTGTACACATTGACATTTGTCTTATCAATGCAATTTAAACACTGGAATTTTTTACCGTTGGATAAACATTTACCCACTAGATGAGTCGAATTCATTCATTCAATTCGGTTAATAAACGTTCAATGCTGGTTTGGCCAGTGGATAATGGTATTGGCAAGAAAGAGAGAAGAGAAAGAGTTGCTTTTAAGACCAAGTCCGAGGTTGAGGTACTCGATGATGGCTTTAAGTGGAGAAAGTACGGCAAAAAGATGGTTAAAAACAGCCCGAATCCAAGGTATGTGAAGAAAACATCGTATATCAGATTTTTATGTTAATTCAACATATCTATAATCTGTGGTCCATGTTTTTAAGGTTTGGTTTTGAAGTAGTCGAGTTATTGTGAGCATTCGCATTTCACATATATTAACTATTGTGATAATGTATAGTCATTGATATTTAATAGCAATTAGTAGAAAATATCAGAAGCATAAGTTTTGCTTCGGAAAACAGCACAAAAACTGCATTTGTCTGTGTTCATTTTCAAAACGCTCTTATAGCAAATGCTGATATGTACACAAGTAATTAAACATTGATTTGTGATGAAAAGCTTAGTAATGACAGAGGTTTTCTTGTAATGAATCAACCAGGAATTACTACAAATGCTCGGTCGATGGTTGCCCTGTGAAAAAGCAAGTCGAACGGTGCAAAGAGGATCCAAGATATGTGGTCACAACTTACGACGGTGTCCACAATCACAAAGGCCCTCACTCGTGAATTTAATTAACAATTGAAAATAAAAATTAAAGGAGCCTTCAATGTATAATACAGACCGCAGTCCCGGTTGGCTAGCTATAGATAGGTTTCAAAGGGAACTCTTGAGAGTACATAGATTCCCTTTGCTTTGTAATGGGACAAAGCTTGAAGGATAATAAAGAAAGCTCGTCAGCTTGTTACCTTGACTTATGTATAGACATACACTTAAGTTTCAGGCTCTGTAAGGGTGTGAATCCTCCCTCGATTATGTTGTTTTCGAATTAAAACTTGCAGCAGACACATATAAGGTTTTGCTTTGTGTCGTTTTAGGAGATTTCCTGTTTTAGATGCGCAAATTTTTGGTGGGTTTAATCGAAACAATAACAGGCTTTGTTTTAGCCAATTTGTACATTTCTGTAACAATAAATACACTGCTTGTAATGAGTTTTTGACATGCAAACCCATTTCAAAATACGATATTATAACTGAGTGTTTTGCTTCTCAAGGTCACTTGACGGAATCAGTTGTAAATACAATGTCGGGATTTCTTACATGAACACTGAACGCAACCTTCTCATCCCACGTTTCTAATTCGTCTCGACTAGGCATGGATATGCTCCACAAAACATCCTCGGCCAACGCTTTCCTTAATAACCCATTCGAATATTTCACAATAGCATTAGAGCTCGAAATAAGATTCTTGTTCGATTTAGCCAAGCCACTGGATAACAACCATCGAGATCCCGACTGGTTTTGTCTGCTACAGCCCCAAATATGGCTTTTACTGCCATTTGTAACCTTCAGACCAGCAAGATGAGCTTCCGAAACCTTAAACAACGGTCTGTAGACTCCTCTGTTCTCCGGTGAAGAAATCCTTTCCACATGAAATAGAGCAAGCATCGTGGGCCCCACCATCTCGTAATTACGAAATGGGTCTCTGAGCTGCGCTTTGAGACCCATATTGAAGTTTTTACCAGACACGGCATTGCACATTTTATTTTCATCATCAGCCTCATTTTGGACGCAAAGTTCACTGGAATCGAGCCTTATCCACTCGTCCAATGGCAGAAACCCATTTGCATCGGTAGAAGCACCACCAGAGCTAATGTTACGTGAAGGTTCTGTGGATCGTACTTTTATGCTCGAAGGTGCTTCTTGATCTGCCATGCCGGACTGAATTTTTAAGCCTTGGAGTATAAGGCCTTCGATGTTTGTTATGGATAGAGGCACTAAATCTTCAAAAGATATGTAATCAGGATCTACCGGCTCAGAATTAGAGCAAGAGAAGTTTTCGAGATTATGAGAAAATGGTGGATGCTCGGTTTGTTTTTCCTCTACAGACTCGATGCCAATACCCGA